TTTCAACCTGTCTAGATCTGCCTAGATTTGTTTCCTACCTTCTAGTGTGTTAACTTTACCCCATAATTTCATATAATCTGTGCGTTTGGACAGAGTGCTTTCCACACCCTCATCCAAGTAACTGATGAAGACATTGAACAGGACAGGTCCAAGGACTGATCCTTGTGGGACTTCACTGCCCTCATCTTTCCAGGTTGATACCAGTCCATCCACCACCACTTTCTGGGTGTGACCTAGTGGTGGGGCCAATTTGCCACCCACCTGACCATGTAATTATCTACATCACAACCACTCAGTTTATTTATGAGAATAGGATGAGATACTGTATCAAAGGCCTTCTTGAAATCCAAGTAAATGACATCTACCTTGACTCCTGCTTCTAAGCATTTTCTAACTCAGTCATGAAAAAACCAAGGTTAGTCAGGCAGGATCTATCTGCTATGAATCTGTGCTGGTTGCTCTTTAGCATTATTTTTCCTGCTGGACTCCCACAGATGTGATCCTTAATATTTTTTTCAAAGGTTTTCCCAAGGATAGAGGTAAGACTAACCAGTCTATAGTTATCTGCATCATCCTTCCTCCCCTTCTTGAAAACAGGGAACATGTTGGCCCTTTTCCAGTCCTCCTGAGCACCACAAGTGCTCAAACAGCCATTCCAATGACTCTTCTATGACACTGGCCAATTTCTTCAACACCCTTGGATGAAGATCATCCAGGCCTGCTGACTTAAACACATCCATTCATTTTATTTAACATATTTAAATATATTGTTAAGCATACAAACATATGCTAAGACAGTCAGTTGTTCTTATAAAAAAAACCCTGAATATTTTGCAGCTAGAATGTGGTACTTAATTTAGTGAAAATATTTTTTCATTTTAAAATAGAGGGCTTGATCCTTCTTATGCAGGTAAACTTCCCACAGAAATCAATAGAGTAGGATCATGTCCAGGGTAAACAAAATCCTGTTTCTACCTTCTTATTATCTTCCTTTGAATAGCAATTGCACTTAATTAATTATCTTAACTTTACAACAGCTTAGAAATAATACCCAAGTGTTTTGTTCCTGCCCACTTGCCTTGCCCATCTTGATCATACTGCTCAATGAAAAGCATAAACACGAGTAATATGTCTTCATAGATTATTTCTCCTACCTGAATGCATGGTCTGTCTTAACATCATTTTGTGGAACAATCTGTATTAAGATCTGGGTTCAGTTCTTCACAAAAAGGTAGGTCTCCAGGCATTCTTTTTATTGTCCTACTGTTTAATCTCTCTTTCCCAGGCCTGTAAACTTGGTACCTATTTAGCTGAAGCCTAAACAGGAATCAGGAAGAGATTTAAAATCAAGCTATCAATCACCTTTCCTTGCTGTGACTTTTTTGACATGGTAGAATTTTTTTTCTCTTCCCTCTTGCACCTAGAGATATACCCAGGCAGAGAATGAAATTTACTGAATGACTTCACACAACAACTAAAAATGAGTATTTTTGATAGTTTATTCTATGGAGATGACAAAATCTGGTAGAATCTCAGCCCTGTCATTTATTCAGAGAACAGTTAAGGTATTTTAGTTATTTGATGTTCCTTAAACAACTTAAATAATAATCTTCTTTGAAACAGGTCAGTTTCCCTCTTTGCTTTGACAAAGTCACGCCTATTACAAAAAGTTTAATGGAAATTGTAGGATTCCACTTTTTTTAAAATGTGAAATGAATTTAGTACTATGTGGAACTAAGTAGTTCCACATAGTAGTATGCGCATGCTACAGATGTGAAAGGTATTTTAGACTGAAAAACCTTGGAGACTAAAATTCTTAGTGCATCCAGTAAAGCAGTACAACTAGGGCAGTAAAGGTTTCCCCACATTTGATTCCCAATCTGTTTCAATCCAGAAGGGACAGTTCCAAGTAATGAAAGAATAGTTTAAAATTTTCAGAATTGGAGGGGGAAAGGGAGCAGAAGAAGCTCATTCTAGGAGTTCCCCCAATACACCTGCCCCACCCTTCAGTGGGGGCTGAACCCCCTCCCCCGACCAAACTTTCTCCTATTCTGAAAACAGCCATAGGCTGGCAGGCAGAAGTTACAGAAGATGCTCTGTTTTGAAAGTCTTCATCTGACCCCTCAATGTAATGAAGGTTCAGATTTTCATATGATTGGCCATTTTTAAGCTGTCTGCAGCTGTGCACTTGCCTTTGGTCATGCCTATACAGTACAGTAGAAAGTGGGTTAGTGAGAGGGGTGGTCACCAAAGCCAATGGGCAGAAACAGGCACTGCCCAGCTGGAGCAGGGCATGGGACAGGATGGAGCTGCAAGTGGTTCATTTGGGGGAGTGTGGGGATGGGGAAAGGGCAGCTCCTACCACTGCATGCCCTCCTGGGCAAGCATGGGGGAGGGGGGCATGTAACCCCCAGTTCTGTGCATGGGGCGAGGGTGGACTACCACTGTGGGTTTTTACCTGGGTGCCAGACTTTGTTGCTATGGCATGGCAGCTATAGACTGCTTTCTGTGGTCAAATCAGATGAAAACTGTCGCTTCTGCCTGCGCCCTTTGTTTCTACGCTCTCTGAGTCCTTGTAGTCTTTGTTGCTGTTGACAGTGAATGACAAATGTGAAGGTTCATGGATCACTGTCCAACATAGAAATTTCATTTAAGCCACTGACCAGCAATCAGATATTAGTAGTTGATAACTACTGTCCATCACCAAGTAATGAAATTTTCTATAGTAAGACAGAATATTCTGTAGTTTATTGTCTTCTCTATGTCCTTGGCCAAAATATGTCTTGATTTATTATTTATCAATAATGACTCCAAGTTCCTGTTCCACCTCTGTGCTTTCAAGAGGGGAACTCCCCAGTCTGTATGTATGCTGTGGATTCCTTCTCCCAAGGTGCAGCACCCTGCATTTGTCTACGTTGAACCCCATCCTATTCTCATCTGCCCACTTTTGTAGTCTGTCTAAATCTATCTGCAGCCTCTCTCCCCATTCAAGTGTGTCCACCTCACCCCACATCTTAGTGTCATCAGCAAACTTGGACAGCGTGCTTTCCACCCCCTCGTCTAAGTCACTGATGAAGATGTTAAACAGTGCGGGCCCGAGGACCAAGCCCTGGGGTACCCCACTGTTCACATCTCGCCAGGTTGAGTATGACCAGTCCACCACTACTCTCTGGGTGCAACCCATCAGCCAATTTTTTACCCTTCCAACTGTGTAGGCATCAATGCCACAGTCGTTTAATTTATTGATGAGGATGGGGTGAGAGACAGTGTCAAAGGTCTTCTTAAAGTCTAAAAAGACTACGTCCATGGCAACACCATCATCCAAGGATTTAGTTACTTGGTCATAAAGGGCAACCAGGTTGGTCAGGCAGGACCTGCCTTTGATGAACCCATGCTGATTGCCCTTGAGCATGATCTCGTCTGCTGGTCCCCCACAGATGTGCTCCTTGATGATTCTCTCTAAGACCTTCCCGAGCACCAAGGTGAGGCTTACAGACCTATAGTTACCTGGGTCCTTCCTCCTCCCTTTCTTGAAAATTGGGACCACATTAGCCAGTTTACAATCCCCTGGCACCTGGCCAGATGACTGCAAATGCTCATACAGCTGGGCCAAGGACTCCACAATGACCTCTGCCAGCTCCCTCAACACCCTTGGGTGGAGGGCATCTGGACCTGCAGATTTAAAAATGTCTAGTGCTTCCAGAAGATCCCTAACTACATCTGTGCTGACTGAAGGCCTGACAGAGCTATCCCTGAGACTGTCCCTACCTCTGGTAGGTGGGATGTCCTGGTCCCTGTTCAAGAAAACAGAGGCAAAGAAACTGTTAAAAATATCAGCTTTCTTGTCTGGCTTAAAAGATTACCGTTTGCATCTTGCAGGGGCCCTACATTGCGTGGTGCCCTCTTCTTGCTCTCAATGTACTTGAAAAAGGACTTCTTGTTGTCCTTAATCCTGGATGCTAGCCTGAGTTCCATCTCTGCCTTGGCCTTCCTCATAGCCCTCCTACACTCACAGGCTGAGGAGGACTCCTTCTTGGTGATAGCTCCTCCCTTCCACTGGTTGTACACCCCCCTTTTAGTCCTCAGGCATTGCTAAATGCCCTTGCTGAGCCAAGGGGGTTTCTGAGCACTCTTACCTCCCTTGCTTCTCTCAGGGTTTGTTATTCTTTGGGCCTGGATGATCGCCCCCTTAAGGTATGACCATCCCTCGTGGACTCCCATCTTCTCTATCTTCTGGGCCCTCAGTGTCTCCCCCACTAGTCTCCTAAGTTCATTGAAGTTGGCCCTTCTGAAGTCAAGGGCATTAGTCTTGGTGTAAGCCCTTGATATCCTATGTTGGATAGTAAAATCCAGCAGGTGATGATCGCTATTGTCCAGGTGGTCAAGGACCTGCAGTCCCTTCACCAGGTCATCCCCAATGGCCAGGACCAGGTCCAGCAAGGCGTTACCCCTAGTGGGGCTGTACACTTCCTGGATAAGGTGAAGATCCTTTAATACAGCCAGGAACCTACGCGAGTGGTCCCTGGTTGGGTGGTCTGTTGTAGACACCCACCGTAAGGTCCCTTTCATGCCACCCTTGCAGTTTGACCCATAGTGTCTCTGCCCAACCCTTCTCTACCCCAAAGCTAATCCTTGATGATGTGAGGTGCTCTTTAACATAGAGCACAACCCCTCACCTTTCCTCTCTGTTCTGTCTCTTCTATATAGGGTGTATCCCCAAATGCGTGTGCCCAGTCATAGGTAGGGTCCCACCAGGTTTCTGTGAGCCCTACTAAGTCTGGGTTCTTACTCACAATCAGAAGGCACAGTTCCTCCTGCTTACTCCCGATACTATGAGCATTAGTGTAGAGGCCCTTGAGGCCTCCTGAGGGTGTACGTGCCTCCCTGCCACTCCCAGGATAGTTGTGACCCCCTACTCCCAGGACTCCTGAGGGTGCATGTTCCTATCTCCCACTCCCAGGACAGTTGTGGCCCCCTACTCCCAGGACGTTGATGCTTACCTGGGCTTCCCTCCCTCTTGTCACCCTGCGTGCTGGTGAAGCATCCTCTCCATTCATGTTATACAAGTACTACATGTAATTCCCACCTTTAGTATTATGTATAGTCACTGACTATAAGGAACGTATAATACAAGTTATAAAAAAAAGCCTCTTATTTTGTTAGGTAGATTGTTGCTCATTGTACACTTATCTATTTCTTCTTCTATCCCTCCACCTTTCCCCCTCCTTTTCTCTCTCTCTCCTTTTATTGCTTTCTATTTGACATAGCTTAGTTTTATGTGTAAAGTTGAAATACATGCTTTTCTGATTTTGTATTGTTTTTAGAAAATACTTAAAAAACAAAAAAAAAGCCTTCTTTCACAGTAGAATGCAATGGCTTTACTAAATCCACCCCCATATGAGAAAATACTGGCTAGACTTTTTTTAGCAAAACATGTTGATTCAGGATTAGGGAGATTTAACTATTATGCTAAAAGTAAATATATTCTGTACATAATTGTGGCTTAAATATGATTTATAGACTTAATGGCATGATTAAGTTCATGAGGCCCAGAAATGTATATGTATATGCTATGCATACTATTAAATCAGAATATTAAATCAGTACTACAGTGAAAAGCATTGGAAACTCTTTCAAATTATTTTTTACCTTCACTTTGTAAATGTGTTTTATCATGCAGATGAGTATATATAGATATAAGTATATCTAAATCAGCTAGTTTAGGATTGCTTTGCTGAGTGGGAGGTGATGCAGGACTGTGCTATTAGTGAGCACGAGGTGGGAGGTGGCTAGGGCTGATGGGCAGGTGGGGTATGGTATTTATATGCATATGTTTACAGGTATTTTTAGATAGCATAGGAATATGGAAATGTTAGTTCAATGAGATAATTTGTCTTGTGAAGGGTAGCTAGAACGATGTAACATAGCTCAGTGGGAGTTAGAGTAGTATAGCGGACCCTGAGCCACTATAGCTAGACTCAGAGCTGGGGGCTCTAAATCATAAGCTCCAGGCTCTCTTACAGCAGAGAGGCAAATCACTAAGGGTCTCAATTTTGGCATGCTCAACTTCAGGCATCTTGACCAAGTCTTGTGATAGAAATGGGGAAAATATATTATAATCTTGTGAATACTGTAGGAGTTGCTGTATATTGATGGATATTGATATAGAATAATGCTATGAACACTTTGTTGGGCTAGGATGAGGGGGGTAAGTTATACTGTATTGGGTTATGAGACTTCTTAGTTCAATAGTATTAATCTAACTTATGTTGGGGTGTAACAGAGTTCCTTTCCAGGGGTGGCCGTGATGCCCCTCGAGTCCCTTCAGCCCTTGTCAGTCTGGCTCTCTTTGGGCTATCTCCCCTTCTCCTCACCTGCCCTGCCTTGATGAAATGATACTTTCAGAAACAGGGAGGCTGCCCCAGGACTTCTCAAGTTAGAGCTTCTCATGAACACTGGTGTTGCTGCTCATAGGCTCCATCCTTCCCATTACCCATGCATATGCCTCGCAAATGTCAAAAATACTAATGAAATCATAATTATCCCTATGGTCTATTGGCTCGTGGCTCTGTTTATCCTTACATTAGCCTTGCCTCACCCTCAGTTCCCCTCTCCTTAGACCCTGGCCCTATTCCTAGGTCAGTTAAGACCCATGGACTCTCCAAACCCACCAGTCTCTGGCTGTGGCTTTTCTTGGCCTTTGGCTCTTTCTGAGCTCTGGCCCTGCACCTAGGCCAGTGAAACCTACAGCCCTGAATCTACCTGCTTCTCAGAGCCTCCAGCCCCCTGTTCTCCTTATTAGGCCTCAAGACCCTGCTTTCTACCTGGGCCAGCTGGGACCTTCTTACCTACACTTAGTCCCTTCCACAAACCATCAGAGTTGCTTTCCTAAGATCAGCTGTTAACCAGGAGCCTTGCTGCCCAGGAACTCTTCTCTCCTTGGTTCTCAGAGTTAGATTGTCTGACCAGCTCTGGCCTAGGCTTATATCCTGTTAGTCCAGCCCCCTCCTGGTTAGATGACTCTTTAAATTGGTCTCTGGAGCACCTGCAGCCTGCTTCTCCTGCCCCTTGCCTTCTCTTAAAGTAGCAGGAGCACCTACTACATGGGGACAGTAGAAAATGCATTGATCACCTGTAACCCTTGAATTCACCGTGGACTGTAAAAGAAGCCAACATGATGCATCAGTAAATACAAAATACTAAGATACAATGCTTGTCTTTTATTGGATTAACTGTATCATCAGGAGAGGTGGTTAGCTGTGTTAGTCTGAAGCCAGTCAGAAGGTAGGGCATGGTGGCACCTTAACGACTAACTAGCTCAGGTATGTTAGACAAGTTTTGAGTCACAAAATACCTTTCCTTATGCCTGGGAAACAGATACAGCTTAAGATATACACTAGGTTAAAATGTCTTTTATCTAATCCCATTACTTAAATGAAAATGGTCACTTCAGAAGAAAGAGGGCAATAAACTTGTAGAACAAAGAGAAGTTATCAGAAATAGATACAGACCAAGAAAAAAGTTGAAATAGATCAATTTAATTATGTAAAAAAAATAAGACTATTCAATAAGGAACAGAGCTGTTATTACCCGTGGGGTACAGAGATGTTAACAGATGATGCACGTAAATTGTAATGAGCTGTAAAACCGCTATCTGTGTTAATAAACCCATTATTTTTAGTATCTAGTAATGTTATGCATTTTTGTCTTCTGAAAGTATTGTGTACATTTCCCTTATGGACAAGGACTGTGTGGTCACAGATGGAGTGGTTATTCTGTGATTGAGTGTTTCTGTTCTTTTTAATTTTTATTGTGAGTGCATTCTGATGTATAGTGCTTTTTTAAAATTTCACCCACATACTGTCCATGAGGGCACTTCATGCATATGCAATATGTTTTGTGATAGGTACGTGTAGAAGTGTGATGGTTTTGTGGACAGTGTTGATTGGGACGGTTGTAGGGTGTGTTGGAATGTTTGGCATTTGATGTAGGTATCAGAAGTATACCCGCTACAGCAAAGGCCTTGGCAGAACACTTTAAGCTCCCTAGACACGCCATTGCTGACCACAGAGTAGCTCTTCTTATGCAGCAAACCTTTAAAAATCCATCTGAATTGTATATCCTCTAAAGCAAATCCGTCAAAGCCTCTGAAGTGTGCTCCAGCTCACAAACACTTGTGCTACATATATCCTTAATTTAGTTAGCCTTTACTGTGGGGCAGAGCTGCACTGCTACCTAGCATGTATTCAGGTGGTGGATAGTGGAATGACCTTCAGAGAAAGTTAGCAATGAAATAAGCAGGGGTAACTGTGGTAAGCAGTCATGGACCAAGCAGTGGCAGCACCACCAGGATGAGGTAACAACAGCAGATGGCAATGGTTTCCCTCCTGAAAAGCAACATATACCCTTGACCATGGTGTGACATGGTGAGTACAGGTCACCCCTATAATAAGCCTGCCTAGCCTCCAACCATGGGTCTACAAGTCCTCAATGGTGGAGCAGGCAGACAAAGATGTTAGAATCTCCACAGCTGTGAAGATGGATGAAGGTTGCAGCAGGATGAGATCCCCAGTTGCCTTGGCCTCCTTGCCATTGGATCTAGGTCTGATTCTGTCAAGAGCCACATGGAAGCTGACATACAGCATCTTCTCCACAATAAAAGAAGCCATGCATAAATGTCATCCATGAAAACAGCTGTTCTAGCACATTTCTCAAGCCCTTTAGAGACCAGATAATGGCAATGGGAGCAGAATTGTGAGGTTTGATCCCAGATAGGCCTCACTGTTATCCATCGTTGGCAGTTCCTTGGAGTCGAGGATGACATCTGTCAGGCTTGGTAGGTCCTCAGGTGACTGAGGAGCCCAATTCTGGATACACCCATGCTTCAGCAGTGGGGGCATGTTGTTGTGTGGGGGAGTGGAATTCACAGCCCTGTGTTGGTCTCCTTCCTCTGCTGCTGCCATTCTGCCACAGTATCGATTCATTGGGCCTTGAAGTGGTGTGTGCCTTGGTGGAGCAGGTGGTGTCACACTGAACGGTCAGCAGCTTGCTCCTCCCAGCCATTGGTGTTGATACCTCCATGCTTGAGGGTGACCTTGAGTGCGTCTTTGTACCATTTTCTTTGGCTGCCCTTGAAGTGTTGGTCAATGGAGAGCTGAAAAAAGAGAATCTGGTGATGGAGGTGGTTCTTGGGCATCTGGATGCAGCGGCCCATCCATTGGAGTTGATTTCTCAAGAGCAAGGCTTCAGTGCTGGTGGATACTGCTTCATGGAAGATGCTTGCACTGGTCCGGTGGTCGTCCCATTTGATCCCCAGGATTTGATTCAAGCACTGCTGGTGAAAGCTCTCAAGGGTCTTAATGTGGCATTGGTAGATGGTTCAGGCTTCACTGCAGTAGAGGAGGGTGGTCAGTGCGACAGCCTTGTAAACTTCATCGACTTCCGAAGGTCTCCATTTTCAAAGACACATTCTTGCAGCTTGAAGAAGGCAGCACCGGCACAGCTGACCCAGTGCTTGACTTCTTCATTGATGGTAGCCCATTGAGTGAAGTCGCTGCTGAGATATGGAAAGTGCTCCATGTACTCCAGAGCCTCCCCATCTATGTAGATAGTGCAACGGATGATCAGCTGGCCTGGGGAGGGTTGGTGGAGAACCTTTGTTTTGGCAATGTTCAAAAACAGGCCAAGTCTCCTATACAAAGCATTGAAGAGATCTAAGGTCACTTGCACATCTTGTGCAGAGTGAGCCATCACGCAGCAATTGTCTGCAAACTGAAGGTTGTGGATGTCCTTGGTGGTGAGTTTCATTTTTACCTGGAAGTGCCCAAGATTGAAAAGCTTCCTGTCCAGGTGATACTGGATACTGACGTGGGATGGTAGATCATCTCGGATGAGGTGGATGATGATGGTCAGGTAGATGGTAAACACAGTGGGGGTGATCATGCAACCTTGCTTGACCCTGGTCCACTCAGGACAGTGGCAGTCATATCATCATGCAGGACAGAGCCTCAGCATAGTGACAAACTTCAGTGGGCAGCCAAGGCGTTGGA